GATTATTGTTCATCAGCGTTTACTCGTTGAAATGAGAGTGCCGATTAAATCTTACATAATCGCTGATAGTGATCATTTTGATTCATTGTCGTTTTGTTTTTAGGGAATTCNATTAAAATCATTTCGTATAGCTAAAAATTAATCGTATAATTGATTTTAGTTGGTATAATCTCATTTTAATTCGTTCGATAGATCGTCGTGGATTCAGCGGCTGAAATCATTTAATTAGAATTGAATTGCTATATGCTTGCGAATAATATGTATTGTGTAATAGAAGTATATTTGAGCCGTGTTTTCTGTGCTAAAAAATTTGTAGTTTGCAACCCAAATTTTGATAAGAACTCAGTGTTGATTATTGTTCATCAGCGTTTACTCGTTGAAATGAGAGCGCCGATTAAATCTTGCATAATCGCTGATAGTGATCATTTTGGTTTAATAGTCGTTTTGTTTTTAGGGAATTCTTTCCACGGAATGGATTTGAAAGGAGAAATAACGAAATTTTTGGAAGAGTTGATCGATAAGCATCCAGAGACGTTGGACGCGATCGAGAATGTGCGAATGAATCGCTTGGGCCGATCATCGAACGCATCCGCAACGCTGATGGCTCAAGGTCCATCAACGTCAAGCACGGCTTCGTCGTCTGGCATACAACGAGCCACATCGAATTCTCTACCAACCAGGTTGGTTGCTTGGCGCTGGACTGATGCAGCCTGAGTGCGAGAACGTTTGCGCGTATTCATTTGATGTCGAGCTGATTTTTGAAGTGGTCATTTTTGAAGCATAACAGTGCAATTTCAGTTTGAAATTAACAGAGCGAAGTTCGTCAACGGCCGTGGCCGCGTTGTCGGATCTTGCGTTACGAGATGGTACGCATATAGCTGCGGATCATGAGGACACTTCGCAAGGTGCAGTGCACTCGTTTCAGGTTTGTGATGATGGTGATTGTGTTGAGCATTCAGTGACACTTACAATTTGAAGGACGAGGATGGCAATTGGTGGACGTATGCGTTCGATGCACAAGGCTTCGGTACAGCGCACGCATTGGGCAGTAGTCGGGCGCTGTTGGAAATGATTCAACACAATAATGCAACACACCCACATACAGTTCGTCGTATTACTTTTGGTATATCCCCGAAACAAAGAGCATTCTCGTGGAAGGAATTTTGGATTATGAT